GAGTAACAAAGGAGTTGTACTTTGAGAATAAATACTATTGTACTTCTATTCTTTTTTAATTGTAGCGGTTTGACTTTCATGTTTGTCAATAAACAAATTCAGCAGTAATTATATTTAATTATGTAGTGCTAGTAATAAACTTTGTAAATATTTAATATTTTAGAAATTCGGATTAATAGAAATTTAGTAATATTTTATGCATAATCATTTGATTATAGTATCCTCTGTTCCATAAAAGTTGCAACAGTTTGACTTTCACGTTTGCCATCGCGCAACTTTGACTGTAATTGTATTTATTTACGTATCAGTAAACATTAAAAAAGTTAATATATTGGAAATTTACATTAATACAAATTTATTAATATTTTATACATAATATTTTTATTATATACTCCCTCCGTCCCGCTAACAATGAGACAAGAGGAAGTGACACGCAAATTAATAAAAAGTGGTTTATGTGGTTGATATTGAATTGATAAAGTAAGAATAAAGTAAGAATGATTTAGAAACACACAAACTTTACCAAATTTGGTATGTGACATTAGTGGGACGGACCGATAAGGTAAAATGAGACAATCATAGCGGGACAGAGGTAGTATATTATTAGAAAATCGTAGTCAAAGTAAGGTGTGTGAATAGTGTAGAAATTCCAATGTTGTAACTTTTATGGAACGGAGGAAGTATATATTAGTAAAAAATTATGATCAAAACAAGGGTGTGAATAGTACAAAATCAAAATAGTGCAACTACAAAGTACGAAAAAAGAAGTATGTTTCACTCTGTAACTAAGCAGGTGTTTGAAATTGAATTTGTTTCTGCTTCGTTTTTAAAAGCAAAGGTAGAATCGAGATGTTTTTACTTGGATTGTAACTTTCTGTTCTGATCTGGTCTGTTTAAGTCTGGTCTGGTCTGTTTAAATTTGGTCTGGTTTGGTCTGGTCTGGTAAACGTTTGGTCTCTGTGTATTTTATAACTACGGAAATCTAGTCTAGTCTGGTCTGTTTAAATCTGCTCTGGTCTGGTCTGTTTAAATCTGCTCTACTCTGGACTGTTTAAGTCTGGTTTGGTCTGGTCTGTTTAAGTCTGGTCTGGTATGGTCTGGGACTGAAACCAGTCCAGTAAAAACATCCCCATACTCAATTTTTCAGAAACTGATCTTCCTAAACTTCTAAAACGCTGCTTCTAGCAGTGATTTTGAGCACCCAGAAGTACTTATTTTGTGACACCGCACCCGAGCGTCCTTGAAATTCAAATTAAATTTCAAAGCTTATGTATTGAATTTCCCTATTATCGATCATTTGTAAAACGATTAAAGTTTTACGTAATGCGTGATTAATCATATTACCGTTTAAGCTCATATAATAGTAATGAACTTCCAAATAATTAATCGGGCCATCTTATTGATATAGGGGCCCAACTTTCTTAAATAAAGATATATAACACTTGGATGCAGAGTAAGAACGGTCGGGCAACCCAAATGTTATTTTGGGCCTAACCTGCTAAAAATAGTAATTATTCAAGAAAGGCATCATAGACCCACTTGAGGGTAATCCACACGGCTAGTAGCCCAACAATATGAATACTAATGTCATAAATAAGTGATAGAATGATTGGAGAAAAATACAAATGTCTATGGTCCCATCTTTGGCATTATTAAGCTAAATAATGAGAGTATCGTTTTCTTTTATAATTATACATCATATAAATTATTAGCACCATCCTACACATATTAGAGATCAATAATATGATGTAGACGGTTGACTTGATCTAAATAAATTGAGATGAGTACAAAAAGACGTCTCATGACAAAGATAAAACTATAAGACCCATCTCTCCATCTTTAAAAGTATTGGTAGATATTTTGGACTCCAAATTGATTGGGATCAATTGGGAATCACCCACACATGAATTGAGTACCTGCAAGACAAAGGAAAATGGGTGAGAAGACTTACCTTGGCCGGACAGGTTGGAGAAGAGTTGCACAAGACACAATTGGCATCACATTTGGGGGCCACCTAGTCCATTTCCGCACAAAATGAGTGTGCTGGTTGTCTACCTTCATAATTGGAGGTACACTCATCCAAACTAAGTGTATAATGTGTTCCTGGATAGCCCTTGAATTCTAGTTTACTTATTGGTTATTGGGTGGTTGTTGTGTGAGGAGGGAGATATTTGCAAATCATATTCGAGGTTGAGTGAGCTGCTGCGTATAAACTCGAGCAGTGAGAGAGTGGTATTGTCTGGTTCGTATCTTGAGCTTCAGTCATCCAAATAAAACGTGTGAGGTGTCTACGGAAAGCTCTCAAGATGAAGAATCCGTGAAGGTATGTTTTGTAACAAACAGAGTTGTGGAAGGCCTCCAAATCATCCGAACAAAACACAACCTCGCAGAAACGGATTTTCCTTTCCAAAGTGAGTTTTACCCCAAAACCTTTCTTTTCATTTTCCAAATGATATGAACGATTGGTGGAACCTTGATACACTATTTCAAGTGCATATTATGTCTTTATAAAGTTAAGCTCATTTGAGGTGAGGATCGACATCTAGTTGCTTACAACTTGTAGGTCAAGCATGAGATTACCTAAATGTCTAAATCATGTTTTTCATGGATTATGATGACTGGCTATTGATGAAATATTGATATATTTGATAAGGAATGAAATTGGAAATGGTTTGGAATCATATTGATAAAAATGGAGTTAAATGAGCTATTAATGAACTATTATGTAAAATAAGCATTTTTACTCATGTGTGAATTGTGTAGATACATAAATGAATATTTATGTATTACATTGGATGCTTAGGTTGCTGCCACATATCTCTAAATATGTAGGGATTTACAAATAGAATATATGATTGATATGAATAATCTCAATAGCATTGAAATACTAGATAATGATTGTTTGTAATTGTTAAGGAATTGAATCTAAGGATTTGATTGTAAGTGATGTGCTTGAATGTGATTCAAGTGACTTAATTGATTTAGTATGAATCTAAGATCATGTTATGGGCAGTCCGTAAGGATGTCCCAAAATAGATTATTGATATCTCAATCCCAGACATAGGTTTGCTTAGGAATTGAGTCTATGCCATGACACGATGATGTACTTGAGTTGAACTCTAGAAGTGCATGGGTAGACAAGGAGTTGTGATTGATGACATGCATGGTGATGTATTTGAGTTGGACTCTAGAAATGAATGAGAAATTTGAGGATGTAGCCTATGTTGTGCATGGTGATGTACTTGAGTTGGACTCTAGAAATGCACGATGGAGTAATTAACTTGTGTCATAGGATTTGCATGGTGATGTACTTGACTTGGACTCTAGAAATGCAAACATATGTGTTAGGGCTGGACCCTATGGATTGTCGTGACTGGTAGTCACGGGATATTGAGTTGATGTTTTGTAAACAAACCTTGGGCCTACGGGTCGACTGCTTGACTTTATATATAAAGTAAGTATATTTTGAAAAGGGGTAACTTGGGGTCACGGCCTAGATTATATTAACACCCTATTTGAGGGTCTTGTGTTTGAAAAACTTGTTGTATATCTATTAGATGTCATCCACACTAGTACTTTATAGCCGCATAGAGTACTGACCCCCTTTCAGGGGGGCGTTCCACCACCATTTCAGGTTGAGGCTAGAGCTTGCTACCTGTGCCCGTTGCTCGGGCGATCATCTTGGAGAGAAGACTTGGTTCGTGCTTCCTCCATTCTGTTTTTGAACATTTATAAACATGCTCATGGATATTTTTCACTATAGAGCTTGCGTGCTCATGTTTGCCCCGTGTGGTATTTGTTTTTAAACTATGTTATATGCTGCGTATTGAATTGCTTATTATGTATGTTTATGGATAACTTACGTGTGAATGATATTCGAGACGCCTTGTATAATATAGATGTGTTAGACTGCGGTTGACTATTCGTATTGTACGACGGGTTGTTGACGTGTCCGGATAGGTCCAAGGCGTGACATATGCAGTTTCCAAAAACAGACACTCGAATATCTACTTATGCTCTCTGAAGAAGTAAAAACAGTTTTAAAAAATACTCCGTATTCCGTAGATACAAACACACTATAACAAAAAACTATCAATATTTTACTCTTATTTGGAACAATCTCTTTTATATTCTCTCCGTATTTTAAAATTTGTTACACTTTTTTGAGATGTATTTAAAAGTTTGCTATACTCTCTTTTTGGTAAATTTTTCATTTAAAAATACTTAATTTTCCTCACCTTTTCAACTTTTTATCTTATTATTTCATACTTTTTCAGAATTCCTTCTACCTTTTCTACATTATTTATTACTCCTACTATTTAATTCTTAAATGAGGTGGGCTTAACATTCAAAAATGGAGGGAGTACTTCGTAATTACTCCGTATTATCTTTTTCTTTGAACACGAAGTCATCATTTGACCATGTACTCAATAAAGTGTCATATAAGTACCTCTACTTGTAAAAAGCAATCAAATGAGTTCTAATGACCTATTTAACGCCTCTTAATCACGGTTTCAACGTACTTCTGACCATCTTTTTAGAATACATTATACGACATATGTCGAATATTTAACTAAGATTGGTTGAAATACAAGTCAAAAAAATCGCCATGTAAGCTAAAATCAGGATTAGGAGGTGTTAAATAAGCCGTTAGAACTCATTTGTTTGCTTTATACAAGTAGATGTACTTATATAACACCTTATTAAGTAAGTACATAGCCTAATTGACTATTTCATAATAATAGAAAGCCTTATTTGACTATTTTCTCTTTCATTTTCTTGTCACACACACAACTTAAATAAATGGTAATAATGGAGTCCATACGCAGCAATTATAAATTCCTATGGAAGGAAAGGGAATTTGGTTAGTAAATTCCAAATTTGGTTTTCTGTGGTGCCCAAACCCGACTTGTGTCCACCACTCGACCAGATCATTTTCACCTACCAGCACGGAGTACAATACACCGAATCAGACCGGGCCTAGTCCGACCTCCCCACACGCTGATTAATCAGAATAATCACCACCCCTTCTTCTCCGTCAGCTTTTCCTGCCCCCCCCCCCTTCGAGTCTTCGACTAGAAATACGGCACGCATCTCTAGACCTCAGCCTCTTCATATGCTCTCCACACGCCTTCTTCCTTCAGAACACCACCATTGCTCATCACCCATCATTCTCATCGATACGCCGGGGAAGAACTAAGAAGTGCGCATAAGCAAAAGTCATGTATATGAATCACGCCTCGCTCTTGCGCATCTCATCCGCTTCCTTGTGCCGCCCTCGGTTGTTCCCTTCGTCAACGTTCTCTCTGCATCGGCCATCGCCTTCGCTCTATCAGCGCCAGTCTCGGCCGCTCAGTTTCACCTCGGCTTTTAGGTCGCTTCGTTGCTCCGCGCCGAGGTGGAGCCACGGCGTTGGCTGGAAATCACCTGCTAGCCTCACTTCTCAGATCAGGGCCGCCGCCCCCGTTTTCACCGAGTTCCATCGGAAGATCGCTTCCATGGGTAGTTTTGTCTTTTCAGTATTTATTATTACACCGATTTGATTGGATGTCTCATACCACTTACGTATCCAGCTTTTATTAGGCATCTTACGTCCCTTGTTTTTGTATACTACGTATTTTGTTTATAATTTTTGCTCATTTTCCGACTCACTGCTCATATGTACCGGATAAATTCTAATTTCATCGTTTATTGATGGCATGCCTGGATTTATTATACTAGTAGTATAAAAATGTTTTTTTTTTTATTTTTTGAAACATTTTTTTTATATTTCATCATTTATTTCATTCAAAAATAATATTTCATTATTAATTGCAAACGTGACCAACTGTATGACCACTTCTAAGGATAAGATTTTATTATTATTTTATATATTCATTCATTTATATATCTTTGTTATTGGAATTTGAAATTTTTGATCGACATACTCAACTGATTCTTCGCAATATTTTCCTTATCACGAAATATTTCGTTTGATTTGTTTCGCTGGAAAGTTATTCCATTATCCACAACTGTGCATCGTTAGTGTGGTAGCAGCTTTTTGATCTTTGATTGGACTAAAGGTAATCACGAATCTGAAGCTGTGTGTTAATGGCTCCAGCATCAGAAAATCCATTTAAGGGAATCTTCACAAGTCTCCCTAAGCCTGGAGGTGGAGAATTCGGAAAGTTCTATAGCTTGCCAGCTCTCAATGATCCTCGAATCGGTAATTTTCAATTTCCCCTACATTTACAGCTTTGATGAAAGTATTGTGTACCTATTGAACTGATATTAGTTATTCGTTTAGATTTTAGACTCATAGAACTTTACATTTGTGAACTGTAAGCTAAATTCCTAAGTATACTATTGAACTGATATTAGTTATTCGTTTAGATTTTAGACTCATAGAACCTTACTTTTGTGAACTGTAAGCTAAATTCCTAAGTATAGCAGAAGAGCTAGGCTCTAGGCGCCCCTTGGTTGCTTGAGTTGCCCCTAACAGTGCCTGCCTAAAGGGTTTCTCATATTGATAGTCTATTTTCACAACAGGGAATTTCCATATATGAGTACAGGTCTGCTCGAAATGCCTGTTGATACTTGGTATGACATGGCATATTAGCGTAAGGCCATGCCATAATGACTTTAATGAGAAATAAAGATTTATTAACTGTTAGCCTATTGGGTTCTCAGAGTTGAATGTATTTTTAAAAACATTATTTTGTACCAATTCTAAGAAACGATCTAATGACACTATGATAACTTTGCTGTACTCTATGCTTACCATTTGTTTTCGCTTTCATTTGCATGTAGATAAGCTACCATACTCAATTAGGATCCTTCTTGAATCTGCTATTCGCAATTGCGATAACTTTCAAGTGACAAAGGAAGATGTTGAGAAGATTATTGACTGGCAAAACACTGCTCCTAAGCTAGTGGAAATACCCTTTAAGCCGGCCCGCGTGTTGTTACAAGTACTCTTTTAGATTTCAGTCTTCCATCTTTAAATGTTCATTACACTGCAAAAAGTGGTTTCACACCATCTAGTTTTATCTGGTTAGGATTTTACTGGGGTCCCAGCAGTTGTTGACCTTGCTTGCATGCGTGATGCCATGAATAAGCTAGGAAGTGATTCCAACAAAATCAACCCCTTGGTAAGTATAATTTCGTCACTCTATGCTATTACTACCTCCGTCTCTTTTTAGTTGCAACGGTCAACATTTCACGTTTGCCAACGCACAACTTTGATCGTCATTATATTTAATTCTGTATTAGTAAAAATAAAATAAAAATCACATTATAAAACTTAGTAATGAGACGAATTTAACAATATTTTTCAAAAAAAATAATTCACATACATTAATAAATAAAATGTAGTCAAAGTAAAGTACATAAATAGTGTATATATTCCAATGTTGCAATTATTGCGATATGGAGGATAGATATCTCAACTTGTTGAGTTAACTATTTGGCTGTCTTTATTTAGAAAAGTTATTGAAAATGCTACTGTTTAACTCTTTTTTTTTGTTAGTGCATCTCCCAACACAGTTTAGAAATGATTGGAAGAAATAAAAAATTCCTTCCACTATGCTTGATTAAGAGTTAAATAAAACCTGTTCACAGTTGAGAACAATAAAGCACTAAAATAGTTCCTTCACTATGCTTGATTGTGATAATCTTCCATGCTTACGTTCAACGTAAAAACACAATATACAGTCAAAAATATATTTCAGAAAGTTCTAAAATCCCTTCATGCAATCTTCACTGACTTTGCAATACCTTTATAGTGTGTCACTATGTTTTCACTCCCCTATCCTCAGCCATTTGATTTTGTTTTGTGCTATGCTAATCCAGGTTCCAGTGGATCTTGTTATCGATCACTCAGTTCAAGTGGATTTTACAAGGTCAGAAAATGCAGTTAAGGCTAATATGGAGCTCGAGTTCCAGAGGAACAAGGAGAGATTTGCCTTCCTAAAATGGGGTTCTAATGCTTTCTCTAATATGCTCGTTGTCCCCCCTGGTTCTGGAATTGTCCACCAGGTACTAGAGTTGAAAACTTAATAGCCTAGATGTCCCTCTTCTCATGTTGTTATTTATCACTTCACAAATTTTGCAATATATAGATTATAGACGTATAGCAATTCTTACATCTGTTGATGCGCACTCAGTCAAGCCGATGTTAATCTTTTCACACTACAATGTTGATGGACTTGATGCTCCCGTATTCATGCCAATGTCTTGGTTTTTGATGAAATGGATCTGAAAAGGTTTGAAAAAATTGAAAAGAACATCTTTGGTCACCCTAAAGCATCATCCTTGTGTGATGTCCTTTTCTAAATATATAGATTATAGACGTATAGCAATTCTTACATCTGTTTGGTTTGAAAAGAACTTAAACATTGGGAGAAGGTTTCCTTTAACCTCTCCCCATAGAGTTATTTTATTTCTTCTTTGCTTTTATGATTCAAATCTCGTGCCAGAGCAATACCAAAAGTCTGAAACTGACTTAGTTCAAATTGATCCAGTGCCAAGTCTTTGGTCGCCCTAAAGCATCATCCTTGTGTGATGTCCTTTTTTGTGTCTTTGCTTTTACCCCTGGCAACATTTCAGGTGCCATGTCAGGAGTTGACAATGGTACTATTTTCAGGTGAATCTTGAGTACCTTGGGCGAGTTGTCTTCAACACTGACGGTGTACTTTATCCCGATAGTGTGGTTGGAACAGATTCCCATACGACTATGATTGATGGACTAGGTGTTGCTGGCTGGGGTGTTGGTGGTATTGAAGCCGAAGCAGCCATGCTTGGCCAGGTAATTTAGCTACCAACTCGTTCAATGGATGCCATCATGCCACATATCTGAAATTACCCCTTGGGTTTTCATCATACACTTAGATTTTGTTGTTGATGCTTTGTAAAAATCAATTTCTACTTTAAAAAAATTGTGACCAGGTGCGAGACACTTTTAACTTGTTAAATCTGTAGAATGAAATACAAAATCTCTAAAGTGAAGCCATTTGTTCAATTGTTCCTTGGTAGCATTTTCAGATCTTTTCTCATCCAACTTGTGATGGTTGTTTTATGATTCATAATGCGAGTACCACCACTTTTTTTCGTTGCCGCCACCACCACCACTTTTCTCATACTTTAAGGCATTCACATATTTTTCTTTGCCGCCACCACAACCACTTTTCATCACGAGCCCTTATGGTCTCACTTATGTATCTGTTTCATTTATCTTTCCAACAACACATGCCAAGATGCATCTAAATTTATTAGATTGCATGAGTTAAAATCATCAGATTCATTGCCTTAAATCTGCTATGCGATTTGTTTCCATTCTAACAGCCAATGAGTATGGTGTTGCCTGGAGTTGTTGGCTTCAAGCTATCAGGACATTTACAGAATGGTGTGACAGCGACAGACTTGGTTTTAACTGTTACTCAAATGCTTAGGAAACATGGTGTTGTTGGAAAGTTTGTTGAATTCCATGGTAACTTTTCTTACCGTTAATGATGGTTGAGCCTAATTATCTTCATTTTTCAGAAGTTCTTTGAAATGGAATCCCCATTCCCCATTAATGTTTGTTTCAGGTGATGGTGTTGGTAAGTTATCATTGGCTGATAGAGCAACCATTGCTAACATGTCTCCTGAATATGGTGCCACAATGGGATTCTTTCCCGTAGACCATGTGACCTTGCAGTACCTAAAATTGACTGGGAGAAGTGATGAAACAGTAAAGTCTTTGAACATTAAGTCACGTACTCACGTGTGATGCATTTTTATACTATATCGCCTGTTGTTTCTGGATGTCTACTAAGTGCAACTTTGAAAATAGGTTGCAATGGTTGAAGCATATCTTCGTGCGAATAACATGTTTGTTGATTATAATGAGGTAGGCCTCATCTTTGAAAGTATTTTAAGAGTTAATACAGATCTTCTTTTCATCTTTTTTACAACGTCTAAAAAATTGTATTTCGTGTTCAAATTTTAGCCTCAACAAGAAAGAGTATACTCATCTTCCTTGCAACTAGACCTTGCAGATGTGGAACCGTGCTTGTCTGGGCCGAAGAGGTATGACCTCTGGCATCTGTAAACAATCAATCAAATTGAATAATATATATGTTACATCTGCTTTTGTTTGTTACAACTTTCAATCAATCAAATTGAATAGTATATTTGTTACTTAGTAAAATTTTCTGCTTGTCATTGCATCAGACCACATGACCGGGTGACACTTAAAGACATGAAGTCTGATTGGCACTCTTGCCTTGATAATAAAGTGGGATTTAAGGTGATTGTCTATGTTGCAAAGCTTCTGAAGTGTATTTATGATCATTATTAAGAAAAGATTGACGTTAGTTTTATTAGCATTAGTACTCTTATCTACTTCACTCAATCCTTAGTACTCCCTCCATCCCGTTAAGATTGTCACATTTTTCCTTTTCGGGCCGTCCGACTAAGATCGTCCCATACCAAATCTTTTAATGTTTGTGTGGTTCAAACCGTTCTTACTTTATTCTTATTTTTATCAATTCAGTACCCATCACATAAACTTACTTTTCTTAAGAACCGCACCACCTCCCCTTACCAAATTAGGGGGGATGGAGGTAGTAATTATTAAGCCACCCTCTCTTCATATTTGCTTATTGAAGGAATATTTGTTAAACTGATTCCATTTAAAATTTAGTTCTTTTGTCTCTTAAAAAGCTAATATTGTAAACATTTTTTAATCCCAATGCAGGGATTCGCTGTGCCAAAGGACGCCCAAGAAAAGGTGGCCAAGTTTTCCTTTAATGGACAGCCTGCAGAGCTCAAGCATGGTAGTGTTGTGATTGCTGCTATTACAAGCTGCACAAATACCTCGAATCCCAGTGTTATGCTTGGTGCTGGGCTTGTTGCTAAAAAGGCTGCTGAGCTGGGCCTTCTTGTATGTTTTTGATTTACATGATTTTAATCACTTCAGCATTTTTGTCTTCTCCTTATTCTTACTGTATGCATCTTTTTTATTCACTATATCAGGTAAAGCCATGGATTAAGACAAGCCTTGCTCCTGGATCCGGTGTTGTTACAAAATATTTGCTTCAGAGGTACTCCACACTTTTCTTATGGAATCAGTTCTCTTGCACCTCTATATTCTAACTTTATCTGTTTGTTTATATTTACAGCGGTCTGCAGAAATATTTGAATGAGCAAGGGTTCAACATTGTTGGATATGGCTGCACAACCTGCATTGGCAATTCCGGTGATCTGGATGAGGCAGTTGCTTCTGCAATATCAGAAAATGGTATTGTGTTAAGCGCTCATTGGTTGCATTTTTATGCTTATCCTTTGTTCTGCTTTTCAGCGGAAAAGTAGTTTTTATTTGGTTGAAACCAATATTACCAATCACTTTTCCTTTGATAAAATTCAATATACAATTCCGGCACTTTATTTGTTACTTTCAAATGTGTAGACGTTGCTATGAGAAAGTGTCAACTGTCTTTACCTTTGCGTAAAGGAAAATTATTCTAATTAAAACATTGGCTGTGTTCTGTAGATATTGTTGCAGCCGCAGTTCTTTCTGGTAACCGGAATTTTGAGGGCCGTGTTCATCCATTGACACGGGCCAATTACCTTGCTTCACCTCCTTTAGTGGTTGCCTATGCACTTGCTGGCACGGTTAGTCTGGAGATTTCTGTTGGTTCATGGTGTTATTTACATTTCTCTTTGTTTTTTATCCTCCATGGTGTAAAGATAATATCTGTATATTCTAAAAATCTGAGGTTTAAATGTCCAAGATCTAATTGCCAAGCGCATGTTTGTATTTCAGTTGGGAAAAATCATTTTATTGAAAGTACATTCCTAAAAATTCAGTTTATCAGAAGTACAAGTACATTTTTCAAAAGTTAGTTGGTAAAAATTATTTATGGTCATCTAATTTGTGTTTGGTTACATTTTTGAAAAAGTGAGTTTGATAAAGTAATAGCTGTTAGAAAGTAACCTGAAACATGTTTTGAAAACCAAAGCTAAGTTAAAGGAATAATAGCTGTTTGAAAGTAACCTCAAACATGTTTTGAAAATTAAAATTTAGTTAAAAGGGATCAAAGGTAAATTTACTTTCAGAAAGAAACTCAGATGAGTATTTGTCACACTGGGTTGTAGAAACTTTAAGAAAATACTCTTTGAAATTGAAATTAAATTAATTAAACAACCATCATTTGAAGAGTTTTAAGTAGTTTCTGTTCTTCTCGGTAAGAGTTAGCACGATACTTAAGCTGGGCTGCTTTTAAATATAGTCCCAGAATTGTGCTGGACAGGCACATACATTAGAGGGATAAGTACAAAAAAGGTACTTGTGGTTGTACACATTTTCAAATAGGGGTCTGGGATTCATTTTTTCACAAAACGGGGCATGTGTTTTTAATTTGAGGGTTTCTGGCTAAACGCCGTAAAAAAGAAGGCGATCTGGATGTATAAAAAGTCACACGTAACGTTCTTTTTGACGGAGCTTAGATGGAGGTCCCATGGGTTCTAACTTCTAACGGATTGAAAACACATGCCCCTTTTGTAAAAAATGAACCTCAAACTCCTATTTCAAAATGCGCACAACCACAAAATCCTTTTTTTGTACTTATCCCTACAGTAAAAGTGGTAGATACGTAATGTGCTGATAGTTTTTTTACCCTAAAATTGGGTGAAGATGTATGTTCAATTTTAAATTATTCTAGACCCCTACTTTGCTCACTATCTTATGCATCTTCATTTATAACACATTATATGTCTATGTTCACTTTACCTTTTTCATTATGAATGGTGTTCAGACAATTTTTTAATACTAGAATTTCATTTTCCAAGAAATGAAGTACTCCCTACTTCCAAAAGAAGTTACTCACTTGCCTTTTTACTGTTCCTGGATAATGTTTCAATTTTTTGGATAAAAAAAGGCTTCAAAGAGGGGTTCCGGGTTCCCCACCTCACCTGAATAGTGTCGCTCCAACTAAATCCCTAAAAATTGGTGCCAAAATCTTATGGAAACCTATATTGGGATGTGTTGAGTGATTTCCAAATGTTTTATTTGAGTGGTGGGTTTTGAGTGCTTAATCTATATCTTGGTATATATTTGCGAATTCTATAAAAATAGAAAGATTAACAATATATTGAGATCATACGAAGTATATCTTTTCAGTCACATTTTATTTGTCTTGGAGAAATATATCTACTTATCATGATATAAGCATTCTATCAACACAGAGACCTAGTATCTTGGCTAATATGAGTTGTTTCTGGCTCAATTGCATACAGGTTGATATTGACTTTGAGAAAGAACCGATTGGGGTGGGGAAGGACGGTAAGGATGTGTATTTTAGGGATATCTGGCCAACAACAGAGGAAGTTGCTGAGGTATGCTTTCCATCTCCAATTTCCCTTCTACTTGAGCTGACATTAGCAGATTGAGACCTGACATGATCAATTTATCTCCTATAGGCTGTCCAGTCCAGTGTATTACCTGACATGTTCAAGAGCACATATGAAGCCATCACAAATGGGAACCCTATGTGGAATCAATTATCTGTCCCAGAGTCCAAACTGTATTCATGGGACCCTAATTCTACATACATCCACGAGCCACCATATTTCAAAGGCATGACGATGGATCCTCCGGGGGTCCATGGAGTGAAAGACGCATATTGCTTGTTGAACTTTGGTGATAGTATCACGACAGATCATATCTCGCCAGCTGGGAGCATTCACAAGGACAGTCCGGCTGCCAAGTTCCTCCTTGAGAGAGGTGTTGACCGCAAGGACTTCAACTCTTATGGAAGCCGAAGAGGTAATGATGAGATTATGGCGAGGGGTACATTCGCCAATATACGCATTGTGAACAAGTTGTTGAATGGTGAAGTTGGGCCAAAGACCGTTCACGTCCCCTCTGGAGAGAAACTCTCCGTGTTTGATGCTGCAATGGTAGTTCCATATGCCAAAAGCATTTTTCTTGCTGTGTTTTGTAGCAGACAGATCGACCTAACAAAATTCTAATGTTGTTTCCAGAAATACATGTCTGAAGGAAAGGACACTATCATATTGGCAGGGGCAGAGTATGGAAGTGGTAGCTCTAGAGATTGGGCCGCCAAGGGTCCGATGTTGTTGGTCAGTAGTTTCTCATACCTCCCTTTTTAAGTCCACAATTTTTATAAATATAGGTTCTGTTTGGTAATAAGCAAGTGCTTTTCACTTTTGACATTTGCTAATTTTTTTATCACACAACTCATCATTTTTCCAAACAAAGAATCCCTACCTAAAGGGGCCCTATGAATTATAAAGAGATCCTAATGATTAATTTAAATTTTAACAGGGAGTGAAAGCAGTTATAGCGAAGAGCTTTGAGAGGATTCATCGGAGTAACTTAGTTGGAATGGGGATCATTCCTCTGTGTTTCAAGGCTGGAGAGGATGCTGACTCACTTGGGCTGACTGGGCATGAGCGTTACACGGTCGACCTTCCATCCAGTGACATCCGTCCAGGGCAGGATGTGACTGTTAGGACAGACAACGGCAAAACTTTTACTTGCACCGTCCGCTTTGATACTGAGGTATCTCTCTCTCTCTCTCATCTAGATTTGCTTTGTGTCAAAAGGAATATAATGAGGGTAATGATTGGTGGCATAACAACCATGTACAACAAGATATCTTGTTCACACAGACAAGATATCTTGTTCACACAGACAAGATATCTTGTTCACACAGACAAGATTGTACTCATGCGAGAACTAAAAAGAATATATAAAAAATCCGCAATATATTTTGTTCTCATTGACATAAAAGTGTGGAGACAAAATATTGCCTGACAAAATCGTGCTGTAGTTTGTTGTATAAAAGCTTTTTCCCCATAAAAGGGTTTCTGTTTCAGTTCCGAGAATCAAATCGTGTTATGTTTGTTACAGGTGGAGTTGGCGTATTTTGGGCATGGAGGCATTCTCCCATACGTTATTCGCCAATTGATCAAGCAGTGAAGTTATAAGGATTTGGTGCTGATGCTTTGTAAAACATGAAAGAAAATAAAGGAGAATACATCATACCCACCCCACACCCACATATTGAGCAGCAAACTACTCCCGGGTGTTTCTTTGCCAATGAATTAATTGATGTTGCAATTTTGTTACTAATAATTAACCAATTTCTTCACTCCTCTACCCCATTGGTATCAGAGTGAAACTGTAGTAACATTTAATCATTATGGGTTTGAATTCAACTTCTCAGAATAGTAACATTTTTTCTTGTTTTTTGTTTTTTCAAAATAGATGAAACATGCTTGATTGTGACAGCCACAGAAAAGGTTCTTGATGGATAGTGTACCCGGGGGTAGCTTATCCGAGGGGTTATTGCGGAGAATAACTAGAGAGAAGTCAGAGCAAATAAGTAAGAGAGAGAGTGTATATTCGATATGTATTAAGCGTGGTTTACAATGGAGGAAAAGGGGTGCTATTTATAATAGTAATAAATGCTAGATAAAGACACGTGTCAGTTGTCTGGTGGTCGAGGGGTCACCTCGATCGGGTTGCACTTGCATTCACATGTGGCCGCATTAAATGCGATGGTTGGATGTGACGTTTGTACTTGATACGGTGATCCAGGCGCACGTGAAGAGGATATTCTGTTGAGATGGGTGTCTTCGGTTGAAGGGTGCTGGGACGAAGGCTCTTCTAACCGAGGGCTCCTACCTGTCGAGGGCTGCAGGTGCCGAAAGGTTGGTTTTCAAGCCTTGTTCTCCTGTGATGCCTCTGAGCTCGATTCCGTCACTGGTAGCCTTCGGCCATGGGGCCGAAGGCACCCTTTGCGTATTGTGGACTGCTTAGAGCTCCATTTTGCCGGGCTTGGCCCGTTTGGGTCTGATTGTAGTAGAATAAGTATGTGAGCCGGGGGTCTCTGGGCCATATACTCCATCAGCTCTACAGCTCTACAGTTACAAAACCAAACAAGATACAAAAACTATGTAGGCGGAAGAGTAAGAGATAATAAGGCTTTCTTTGCAAACACTACTCGTAAGTTGCTTTTGAACGTTTTAAAGTGATTTTGAAAAAAAATGATTAATAGTAAAAGTTGGTAGTATTTGAGAAAAAATTGATTTTAAAAAGGTAAAGTTGGTAGTGTTTGGTAAAATAAGTGTTTTTTGTGTAATAGAAATCGTAAAAAACAGATTCTAGCTTTGAACTTTTAGTATTAATTTAAGTAGAAGTTGTCACTTGAAAACACTCTTTTTAGCTTTTAAGTCAAAAAAGGTGGGAAGTAATTTTTTTCAAGTGTTTGCAAACAAAGTCTAAAAGAAAAATTCATAAAATATTCCGTATTTAAATACAAAGCAATTATATTTAAAATATTTACTATTTTATTAATTAAAATAAAAGGGAATTAATTAACATGCAAGTAGACTAAAAGACAAGCAACGAAGGCCGTAAAATATTTCGTGGTCGCATGACTCAAGATATCGCAAAAGTTAAGTGCGTGAAGGATGTCAATCAAATGATATTAATGGAGGATGGAGAATGAAAGAGAGGTGGAGGTCATACTTTCATACACTATTCAACGGGAACAAAGTGCAAGATATCGGCAATTTGATCATACCAGATTGTATGGTAAATCTGATTTTGTGAGAAGGATCCAAACAACAGAATTTAAAGAAGCTATGAAGAAGATGAGGCGGAATAAAATAGTGGGTCCAGATGACATATCGATCGAGGCTCAGAGAAGTTTGGGAGAGAGGCGTCGAGTGGTTAACAAATTTCTTCAACATGATTTGGAGAAACAACAAGATGCCAATGAGTTGGAGGAATAGTACTCTTATCCCCTTGATGGAGTATATGGCTCGGGAACACCCGACCCACAGACTCCTACTACACCAATGGAGGCCCAACCGGCCCAGGAAGCTCAACAGGCCCAAATCACGGCGCCCAGAGGCCCAATACGCACCAGGGGTGCCTTCGGCCCCCTGACCGAAGGCTCCAAACTATCACAACGTGGATATTTCGAACAAACAGAGGAACTGGGAGAAAACGGCGAAAATAGCAGCCCTCGACACCTGGAGCCCTCGGCACCCAGAGGTCCTCGGCACTAGGAGCCCTCGACCATCCTTTGCAGCCGAGGGCACCTCTCCCGACATGAGATCCGCGTCACATGCGTACAGATCACCATACCCTGCACAGACGTCCCATCCAACAGCCGCATTAAATGCGGCCACATGCGGATGCCAGCGCCAACCAGTTGAGGTGACCTCTCGGCCAATGGGCGCTTGACACGTGTCCCTGTCCGGCATTTATTGCTACTATAAATAGCACCCCCTTTTCCCCGTTGTAAACCACGACATTCATACTGAATACACTCTCTCTCTTACTTACTTGTACTCTGACTTCTCTCTAAGTTATCCCCAGCGATAACCCCTCGGATAAGCTACCCCCGGGTAGACTATCCATCATTTGGTGCTCTCGTTGAGAGGTCGAACAATCGAGTAAGAAACCCTCCCCCTTCGCCAAACACTAGCCCTCTACCAAAATGGTGAGAACAACACGTGCCAACTCCAAAAACGTAGAAGACAAGAACCTGGCCCTCGGCGACGTCAACGCCCCCGAAGCCTCTCACAGAGCTCCCGAGGGCGGTGTCATCGCTGGGTTGGAACAGGCGACTGTCGACCTACGTCTTCAGATTCAACAAAATGCCCCCGATGCCCGCCTCGGCATCGAGGCCAAGAAGAAAAACCGGAGCGATGACCAAGTCAGCCCTCTGGTTGTAACACCTCAAAATCGGGTCAATTGTTTACTGATTTATTTTAGGAGTATTTTGAATAGTTAAAAGAAAATTAAAATTTATAACGAATTAAGTATGTTAACAAATTAACAAATACTAACAAATTGTTAGAGGTAGTGTCAACCAATACTTTAAATAGCTAAGCAAAACATATATACGTATATACTTTAATCTCAATTGCTAAATAGCTTAAATCTAGAGCATGTGGGACCCATCCCCACTAAAGATCCATTCTAGCCAAACTTAAAAAAAAAGCCTGCAGCTTCCTCCACGTAGAAAGGTCTCCAAGCACACATGTCATAGAATGAGTGTCTTGAACACATGAATTTCACTTGAAGACATATTGACCATGCAAATTAGTTTCACCATTTGTTTAAAAACGTAACCTGCATGGAGAATTCCCCACCTCTTGTACACCTTGCAACCATGCAGCGAACCAAACAAGCTAGCTCACCGCGTAGATCTATTTTATATACCTAAGGAACACATAGAGTTTTGGGGAAAGGAACGGGATAGCTTATGCAGTCATAGGATGGTCTTTTGCCCAAACCTGAGAGAATGAAGCTTAGCTCGCCTTAAATCAAGTAAAAGTCTCTCATTTTAAGGTCAGTATTATAATACGACATCTAGTAAGTATCATTATCTCTGTTAATCAATTCAAAGAAAATATGTTGGTATTATGATATATATACTTTTATGTTGACTCCACTTTAAGTAATTGATTGATAATACCGTTAATTAGTACTACGGAGAATAATATACGAGGTCACTTTTATTGAATTCCATTTTTTTTATTAATAATAAAAAAAATATAATATAAGTTGTTATTAGTAGCTAATATAATTACTTGTTTTACTTAAATAAAAGTGATAACCGGCATTATAAGAAAGAATAAATTTAAAAGAATAAGTGGTGGATAATTCTTTTCACATTAATATAAAAGTAAAATGTAAAAAGTTAAATAATTAAGATTACAAAATGATTTATGTAGAAGGCATTATAAGATAAATTGCTTTTTCAGTAACTATTAAGCAAATTTGCATGCCAAATATGTTGCTAGCTAGGACACTTGTCCAACTCACAAAAAGAAACTAAACATGCATATAGGTCTCGTTAGGATCTAGCAATGAGCCAATATTTATTAGTATGATAGATTAAAAGTAGTGTAGTATACTAGTATTCATCAAAAACTAACAAAAACAAAAAGAGGTCAACTAAGTGGGTTTCACTATTCATTCAAAGAATATGTATGTGGCTGGCCTAAGTATATAGCAACAACCCAATTGCCATGTAGCTTTACATGCTGATAAATTCTGAGAAAAGATCAGAGGCACGTAGCATGACACACAATCCTTCTCAAAGTTAGTATAATGCCACTAAACTTGACTAGAGTTAATAGTGACGGACTTAGGGTATATGGGAGAATTTATAAAACGAGAAACCGAGAATGTAATAGAAATAAAGAAACGCGCATAAGAAAAATAAAGGGGAAGAAAGGTAGCGAAAGAAAAGAAGAGCAGTTTATGTATCTGGGGTGTATCGACAAGGTCAGTACTAAAAGTGCCATTATTTTTGTTATTAAAAGAAAAGATGTAAGTAGTACTTCGTATAATATATGTTTTTATATGAATTTCAAATTCAGTAATTAAAGTAATGTTAGTACTTTTGTATTATATTATCGAATACCGTTTTTCAATAATTAAACCATTCCGTTATTATGAATAAAAATAATGCACGACTATACTTTTGCTTGATGCTATATTTACAATCAGTTAAAGATGAGAGTACGTATTTACTGTTGATAAACACTACTTAAGGTGTTAGTACTAGAGTACGGCTTTTTATTAGAAACATATTCTCAATTAATCAAAGATAGGAATATTTCGTTATATTGAATACTAATTTCGATCGATAATATAACTTTACTTTAAGAGACGGTGCTTTAAAGCATCTGATTAGTATTTCTACCACTACATGAAAGTATACATGCATAAAAGGACTATAATTACAAAATGATCAAAACAGATTAATGTGCTTTACAAAATATATCTGTTCCAAAAGAATGAGTATATAATCTATGTGTATATATATGCCACGGATAACAATAAAAACACTCAAGTTATCTCATAAATTTTACATACGTGTAAAAGGTATATATTTTGAATGTTAAGTATTTGAGGAAATGTTTACACGAATTTAAGAATTCTTTTACTAAAGAGCCTTACTCTAGGATTTGGGATCTAGTTTTGGGTACCTCTGTTTAAAGTTTTGGGTACAAGTTGGTTTTTCCGACTACGACTCCTCTGGTGTGCTAGCATACGGCCCAGGTCAGGGTCCTCTGAATCTGAAATGTCTGAATCTGCAGTCTCTGTTATCTGATGATCCCTGTGATCTGAAGATCTCTGTTATCTAGGGATAAAGTAACTAGAACTTTGTTCGGAATTACTTTATCTGTATCCTTAACTAGAGTCTGGTCCTAAGAGTAAAGGCTGAAATTATATGAGTAAAGTATTAAGTATTCAGAAAGTTGTTTCCTTCGTTTATGAATTTGAACAAGAAGTATATATGGTTATTTCCCTTGAGGGATATATGTCTCTGATTATTTTTAAGTGAAATTAATCACTTAAACCTGGTTTGAAAGATGTACAAGTTATGAAATGATCTGAACTAAAAAAAAAAGAGTTTGAAGTCGGATTATATAAATCCTTATAGGTATTTTTGAATATAAAGTTTTGACTAATCTGACTAATTTCTTATGATTTATTTTACACACTTAGTCGGCAACAAATTTGTAAGCATGAATAATTTATGTTAGAAGGAAATAATCATTAAATTTGATTTTTATGGTGACAATGTGCAATACTGCAATATGTGTAATATAATGTATATTTTAACGTTAATGATTTGATTTACTTCTTGTCAATTGTTCAAGTAACAAATATGAATTTATATGTTACACACATGTTATATTATAGTACCACTCAGCAATTCTAGTGCTGAGCGTGTAGTTTTTTTTTTCTACACGTAGGTGAATACGATAAGCAAGCTGGAGCCCAGGACAATGAGACATCTGGATAGGACTGTTGCATGTGTTTTATTTCAGTGTCATGTTAAAAATAAGTTGGAACAACCAATACCGTTTTAAATATTCATCAGGCTAATGTAATAATTGGAGTTTTATTTTAAGTTGCTATGTATAGTTATCCTTTTCTTTGGTTTGCCACTGAACGCAAATTAAATCCACATTACTTAATATTTTCTATGGAAAATATTTTCTAAATTAGTTATAAAGAATTAGCATTTTTTTTAAGAACAAACGGCAGTGACATCTGTCCCGAACCGGCTAGACCATGCGGGGTGGGTATTACATTTTGGTATCAGAGCCCTAGGTTTCTAAAAATGGTTCTTAGCCTTTGGGTAATGAATTTCATTACGCGTAAGTTGCATTGTATTCCAGATGTCTTGGTCCAGGCTGACTAATTTTAGGTTGATACTATAATTTACATGTTTATAACCTTTAGGTACTGAGATGAGTCCTAAGGAAGTTAATTCTCGTGATGCTGAGTCTTCTAATGCTTCCGCTAAGGGAAGTGGCCGAGAGCAACAAAATGAAAACCCACAAGATGCTCCCGGTAATCTTTGGCGACGGGCTCCATAGAGCCCAACTCGAAGTGGAGTTCGTCGTCGTAAACATCGACTGCGCCCACAACATCATCCTCGGCCGGCCAGCCCTTGAGGACCTCGAGGCCATCATCTCCATGAGGCACCTCTGCCTCAAGTTTCCCGCAGAGGGGGGCTTTGGCTACTCCCGGGGGAACCAGAAAATCACCCGCGCCTGCTATCTTCAAGTCACTAAGAAGGTAAGTAAGACGGAATTCCGTGTTGACACCATCACCGGAACCATCGACCAAGAAGAAAAAAGGCCGAGGGCTGAACCAGCCGAGGACGTAGAAGACTTTGCACTCGATCCGGCCCAGCCGGAGAGAGTCGTGAAGATTGGAGCCCAGCTCCCTGAAGATCTGAAGACCGGTATCACCGACGCCCTCCGCGCCTACTCCACTGTCTTTGCATGGGGGCCGGAGGACATGCCGGGAATAAGCCGAAGGGTCATCACCCACCGTCTCTCGGTGGACCCTTCGGCAAAAGCAGTACAGCAACGAAGAAGACCCCTCTCCGCCGAGAGGAGGGAATTTGTGAAGAAGGAGGTCGCCATGCTCCTCTCTATTAAGCACATCAAGGAGGTAAAATACCCTTCATGACTGGCGAACGTAGTCCTCGCACAGAAGCCTCCTACCTTCCGCATGTGCGTGGACTACACAGATCTCAACAAGGCGTGCCCTATGGACCCTTTTCCTTTGCCCAATATCGATCAACTTGTGGATGAAACCGCGGGGTGTGAAATCATGTCATTCCTCGACGCATTCCGCGGGTATAATCAAATCTTCATGCTTGAGGAAGACGCCGAAAAGACAGCCTTCATAACTCCCGAGGGCATCTTCTGATACCTAGTAATGGCCTTCGGCCTAAAGAACTCAGGGGCCACTTACACCCGGATGGTAGCCCGAGTCTTTCAAGCCGTCCTAGGGCG